TTAAACATACATATCATATCACTATTAAGATTTTGAGTATCAGAGATTAGAGAAACAAATTCCGAAGATTTCTGCCACACATCTTTATGACTGCATGTTGAAATTAACATTTTTACTGCATCACCTTTATGTTTTTCAATACGAAAACGGCCTCCGTCATTTTTCAAATCACGAATGCTTTTAATTCATCAAGAATAGTAGCATTACTGTTGGGCCCGGTCACGTCCATTTTGCGTTATCCATGTTTATCAATAATGCGATCACGCAATATGCGCACAAACAGATTGACACACAAGCAAAGCATACACCTCATCCACGATTCCCCATCACACCTAATATTTGCATCACACAGATTTTATTTTCCTTAATCCACCCTGAACATCTAGTGATTTCTATGAGTGTGCAATCAATGAAATCGATTTTTTCAAGTTGTATCTGTTGAACATTTGGCAGCTGAATATTCATTTATGGGTTAAATGAAACAGTTTTTGACTTAAATTTTGAATTGCCTCCTGTGAATTTTTGATCCATTTGAAGAGGTTGAAGTAGTCATTTATCATTCCTTTGTTGCTTGGTTAAGATTTGTTTACTTCCCCGATTCGGGCTTAACCAGATTCAATTCAACGTAAAGCGATATCGATTACTGCCTGTGATCATATTGCAAAACGTATAAAGCATAGACCTAATTCTTTGGAAAATGTGAAAGCCTAAAATTTTGAAACTAGGTCCCAATTGTTTCAAACATTTCTAACCCGCCAAACACAGTGTTTTATTAATGATTCGATTCTTGTGAACACTACACGATTCAGAATTTACTTTGATATTTTGAATCAACGATCCGTGAGGATGCCGGTAACTAATCAACAGCTATTCACTCCACTGGAAAGGACAAGGCAATAAATGCATCAGTGAACAATGAATTACTCAGGTGAAATTACTCTGGGTTTAATACTGATGATGACGAGCAGGAAGGCTTTCAGACGTGAATAATTACATTATTAACATTTATATCACTATCATTTCGCTATTTCTATTGACCTTACTTCTCATGTGATCACGTTAGTATTTCATAAGTTGAAGGACTGTAAGCAATGGTTAAACCTAACGTATGGTTATTTATTGGAGTTTTCTTGAGTTCTGTGTTTCCCCTGGTGAATAGCTGAAGACGATTCGAAATTATGACATCACCGGCTTTTTAATCCTGTAAAATCAGCAACTTGATAGTATTCATTATAAATGAGTTGATTCTTGTGGATAATCGTACTCAATATGTGGTACATTGTTTACATGAATGCTTGAATGCATTATATTTCTTGAAGCATCAGTGAGTACACTTCATATGTTTGTCAAAAGATAATCGGATAATGAAAAAGTTACAAAAACCTTTAAATGTAAAGACTTGATACAAAATATGCGGCAGACGTTTTCCTTGCAATTACTCTCTTATTCCACTATTACATTTTCTGTGCAAGTGAGTTGCCAAGCTAAAGCTCACTTAGTTATCCTTTCAAATTGAGCAATCCTTTCATAAATACCGTCCTACTCAGTTCGATGTGTATTAGTCTCTGTGTGTAAATGTTGTTCAAGTGAGACATCAGAACACTAGCTTTCAAATGAACCGGATAAAGTGTAGTCATTTTGACTCATCCGAACAGTCAGCAACTTGATAAACCAAAATAGTCAAGGCCTACGGCATTGTCTTTTGTATTCCGTGGTTTCATTCAAAGATTTCCAATCACTTCACACCGGAAACAGTCTAATTGCATTGCACAGAACCGACTGCTTCATTGTAACCAATAGAAAACCAGTGAAACGCTTCAGTTTTACAAATGGTGTTTCACATGTTTACAATATGTGCCATGTCCTAGCTCAGTGGTTTATACAAATCTACTCATAAGCAGATCATCAGCATAGGGTATGAGCGCTGCTTGATTCAGGACCATCAGTAAGCTTTCTTCGCAGGTTGTTATTCAATTTTGCTGAAAGGGATAGTTCTCCATATCAGCAATATAAAATAAGTGTAGTTACTCCTTACTAAATTAACACAAGTACCCACGTTCTTTTTGAAGTTTTCAAACTTATGGACTCTTGGTAAAAAAAGCCATCTTAATGATGTTCCCTTTAGTACTGAGAAATTATAAATAAGTATGATTTGCGGTGTTACCGTTCCGCTAGTAGTATAATATACTCTCCGTTGATTGTGAATTTACAATAACAGATCACACATTAAACTGTCTTAAAATGTTTTCCTGCTACGCTTAAGGATTAATCAGGGTTAAATGTGAAGTTATGTGTTTTGAACCACATTATCACCAATGGGGCTTGCTAATGATTCATGCAAACTAACCGGCCTCCGTTTAAAAGTTGTCTAGTGCAGACAGATAACATATGCGCCTTCCATACGACTGTTATAAACTTCAAAGGTGGGTGTGCAAGCAGTACTGATGAACTACAAGGAGAGCAAAACTGGATTCCGACGCATTCTGAGTGTATAGGTGTATGGATGAAATAAGAAGTGCAAAGCTGAAGACCGATGATCAGTCTCAATCAACGTGCAATGTAGTCTGGAATAGTTGGCATGATGGCGATTTGAACTTTCTTCCCTAGTTTTCATAGTGGGAAAAGCTACAATTTTAACCTTTCTTCTGTGTGATATTTCTCAGGGACGCTACCGAATAGGCAGAAGTTGGCACAAATACCTTGTTAAACTGTCTCATAGGTTTCATCCATCTTGAAAAACAGGTAGTATAAAATTTTGAGTTTCTGTTAGGTTTAAAAGCGGAAAAATCGCGGTTGAAATTTTTGTGTCAAAAAGGTTCACAAATGCATTCTTGTGCCTAATTACTAGATGCACAGATTTGAAAACAATTGATTTCATTGCTAGTGTGCACAAAGAAAGAATAATCAATTTCATTTGATTTCTACATCATTAGTTAACACATGAAATCATCGGGCAGTATGAGACAAGTGTGAATCTGATAACTGTGAGCACACAGAAGGCAAATTACTTTTAGTTCATATTTTGAATATCAATATTTTCACAACTTACGGTCTATCCCAGTCACTTAGAAGATATTTTTTGCAACAGTCTATCTATTGTCGAACAATAAACAGCTTTTGTAGCTGCTTTCCTGACTACCACTTTTGTCTAGGGTCTTCCGGGTAGTTTACAGACCTTAAAACGTTGATTCTGATCATCGTAGAAACAGCCATCAACGGGTGAGGAAATATGGAGAAGACGTAGGTTTTTGAATACACCAAGTGTAGATAACAGTTACATTTTCATGGTAGCATACCTTTATTGTTTCAACGGTATTTTGGTCTGTTCCAGACCAGCACAAAATCACAAACGAGTTACGGGTTTCAGGAAGATTCAATTGTCGGTTAATTTCTGCAAAGTTCGCAGTTTGCGTACCAACAAAAGTGGTAAACCCGTTTCTGATGGGTTACGTATGGCAGTTTAACTTCAGATTTACGGAATATTACTGTGTTCTTCGTGAATGTATCGAGTATAGACCACAATTGGTTAATGTACTGGAGAACGTGATTTATTACTGAAACTGCTGTCCTCCTTGGTCCTTCAACTGAAACATGTAAGGCTTGCGCCTATCTAAATTTTTCATCTGTTCTAATTGTGCACTATTCGGTTATAGGATACAGTGCTCAGGAAAACACGTGAAAATGAATAATAGATTAGCCGAATGACTTTTTGAGGGCGCTGGGTTTCATTATTGGATTAGAAACAAAAAGCGCAGTACTGTACTTTAGCTTAGAGGGCAACTACATACTCTCTGGAGATTCGATAATTTCCATTTCTGGTCAAAAACTTATTTCTGTCATCATGGATCTACAACCAGATACCAGTGATGCTAATTATCTTTTAAGTAACAAACATCCCCTGTCTGTTTCACCGCGGAGCTACGTCATCATCGATAACTAACGTGCTGAGTTTTCTGTATGATCACTCTTTATCGCTTATATCCTTGTGCGTGGAATATTTATATATTTGTGTACTGACGGGTTGTCTGGTTTCGTAGGACTCATCTATCAGCTATCGTTCTTGCGTGCCAAACAGTCGCATGGTGTCACAAAAGTGTCGACGTCCGAACTTATCAGATTTATTGGTAAGTTGATCACATTTCTCATGCATGTGCACTCGATATCAAATTGATCGGTGTATCACCTTGCATTGCAGTGCAGCTTGACCTAAGTAAACTGACTACAGACGAGCTGAAACAAGCAGACCAAGTAGCAACCAATATCAAGTGTCCACCAATGTAGCAACGATACCTATTGATAACTGTGACTAGCACTGAGGTTTTCATTTGGTGGCATTTATTGCTCTTAGGTTAGAACGATTAGTCACTGTTTTGGGAACATTATGGAAGAGTGCTTTTTTCTACTATTTAGACTAACAAGACAAACTAAAGCTTTCGTGTGCCTTGCAGCAATAACAAAACATAAGTTTATGATTGACCCAATAGAAGCGTTAATTGCCACAATGAAAAGAGATTCGATATCATTTTGATTATGTTAACCAGAATTTGAAGTGCGTAGTGTCTTTAATTATTTTTTCTGCATTCCAAATAAATCTTTCGACGTATTTTCTATATGTATTGGTAGACTGCTTGGTTTAACTGAAACGTTTAGAAGTCTGATGAATTGTTATAACCGAAACTACTTCGGGGCACGTGTAGTCATCTCACGACTATGTAAATATATCTATAGCTATAGCTCAACATTTCCTTCTGCCCTCCTACAAACCATTTTGAAAATAGATATATCAAACTGTGAGATAATGGATCAGACTGCTGTGATCCACGGGTGCGGGGATTTCTTCTGAGAAGAAAAATGAAACTATTCGTCATACCGACAATCTTCTACAGTTGGTTGGGAAATTAGTGAATATTTTGCACCGTATTTCTTCTTTCACCAAAAGCATGATGAAAAATCCATAGAGAGTTCATCGGATATATGATATTGCATGGAGGAACACTTACCGTCGGAAATAAGGTGTGACCTCGTGCATGTGCTTCACTTCCAGTTCCACTATGCGACCCGCTCGCTTCAGTGCCTTCACCGCCTCGTCATGCGTACTATTGCGCAAATCCTCTCCGTTCACGCTGAGAATCGCATCGCCCACATTAAGCTGACCAGTTTGTTCGGCAGCCATACCCTGTGCAAAATAAATTGTGATAAAACCGCGTTATTTATCTATGAACATACAATTAGTCATCCAGACATCAATATCTGATCATTCCAAGTGTGCTTATGCAAATAACCAAATCTAGATATTAATCATTTCTGCAAATTCCCTGGGGCCGTTTATCAGTCACGATTAAAGAACCATTTCACGAAACACTATCCCAACGGATTTCGATGTCCAGTTTGATACTTAAAATAACGCAGTATGTAGCTTAACATTTTCTATTATTTTCAAGCATGTTATTGCATTTGATGGATGCACACATGGAATGAGATAGCTGATTCACTCAACAAACCACCAATACCACACCTGACCTATCGGGGCCTTATGTGGTTAACCACTCCAAGTCCCGGGGCTTAGGTTACTGGTTTCCATTACTGAACGGCAGGTCCTCGTGACTATGGGGTTTACCCCGTCTGCTGTTCATCACACGAAAGTGTGTAATAAAAAAAGGAAAACAATTTACCTTTCCAGATTATCATCATCATTTACTATTTGTCGATAAATGTATTCCATTGCTGTAGATAGTATCAGTATGAGACGGTATCTATCTTCATCGACTCACGCCAGAAAACCACACGTATTCATCTATTTTTTCTCCCAATCAATCTTTGCTGGCAGTTGCGAAGTCGACAACTCGGTTTTGTATAAGGCTGAAATATAGTTTAGTTTTCAACCATAGACCTAGCTCAGACTTGCGAAAACGAGAATAGAATAGAACAGTCATAATTATCATACTTATTTTACGACCAATAGATGAAAGATCACATGAACACAGCAATAAATGTTATGCTCTTACATCCGTAATGAAAAAATCTCCAAAATCCGGAAAACAATCGCATCAGGATAACGTGAAGCCCGGCTTTTGAACATGGTCATTAAACTGAAGATTACTATTTTGTTTATGTGAAATCAGATGAAGTAAGCAAGCAGACATTTTTTATGAGAAAAGGCACTCACTCTAAAACCCTATAAATAAGGAGTAAAACTGAAATATGGAATCCTGTGAGATTCCTGTATCATCAACTTGGAGATTTTCAATACAGAGGTCCGAAGTTTTTAGATCACTTTTGCAACTCAACTAATCAAGAGTAAAAAAAACTTTAGTTTGAAGAAAACTAAAATCCGCTGAGAACGTCATCACTCACCAGATACTTCTATTTTTGTGAGATTATGCTTATTCAAAGCAAAAAATGAGTGACTTCACAAATAAATTACTGTATATTTCTACCAATAGTCCTCGTGGATGCGTGAAAAAATAATTACATAAATCGCTTCACGTTCATTAACCGGTTCAAATCAATAGAACTCTAAATAGAATTATCCCAAAAACATCTTATACTGGTGAATTGCATTTTCTGGAATATGATAAATTAATATCACATATCTCAGGGGATATAAAAAGCAACCTTGAGAAATGCTGATATTTTTCAATTGCCAACCTTATCTTATAACAAGGGTTTATATTCATTTATTGTAGAATAATAAGCTGTCGGTCTCCCATGCCACAAGGTGAACCAACCATTTCTGCAATGTTTAGTCAGTGAGTGTTGCCTTGCGGTTGTAAAACTTTTTGTCTTGAACAGTTTCGTCAGAAACGTCTAAAAATTCCTGAAACCACGGAGTAACTGTTGAAACCTTAATATGAATGATAGTCTCAAATTCAGTTGTGTCTCAAAAAGTATTCTTCCTGAAAGCTTAGAACTTACCAATCAAGTGTCTCTTGGATGTTTGAGATTTTTTCATCAGCAAAGCCGACAAAATCTAGTAATAAATCAGTCGATCAGGTGGAGCTGATTAGACGCTTCGGAAACTGGGACACAACTGCGGCTTTACCACTAACTTTGAAATAGGGCAACATTTTCTATTAGCCCTTTGATTCATCATGAACAACTGTAGGTGTTTATTCAACAGCCAACTAACATTGAACGTAGCAACATACAATACGTCGTGTGAACGTACTTTGTACACTATCAACGGGGAGTTGTTCTGACTATCAAGCATTGGGCGGTGAAAGGCTGATCACCCAGAATACGAACACAATGATGACGACACACATGGAACCATTTTTTGCATGATTAGTGCATTCCTCTTACCGGTACTACTCTTTTTCGTTAGTGAACTGGTTAAGAAGCGATGATCTCATTACAGACACACACACACACACAAGAACGTAACTCTGTTCCTGACAAGTGTCAATGTGATTGTACTACTTTCAAAGGAAACCAATTTTCTAGTCATATGTATGATAACTTGGACCAAGTAACTGCATGGTTGCATTATTATTTCGCTCACAGTAATAATGAACTCATGGGTGCAAAACATTCAAGTAACCTTTCCTCGGAGGATAAAAAATTTATTGATGAGATATACCTTTATTATGTTAGAAGTAACCAAAATAAATGGCTTTTCCTCTTCAGCAAATAAAGCGGCGTGAAGAGTATGTTCGTCCGTCGGTTCTTCCAGTTCAAGTAATTTCATTGTCGACTGCTTCACGCTCCATCCATACGTGTCGAAAAAATGATCAGTGGTACTTCAAACAAAGTTGTCACAGTATTTCAATTTGTTGATGTGCATAGGAGACGAAAGACACCGGCTGATCCCGTCTGCGCAGTACCGAAGAAGAGCGTCTTCGTCAGACTCGCCTTTAAAGGTGATCATAAAATGAACGACATGCGTCAAAAGCTCAAGGAGGCATTGTTTTTCCTGCCGCACAGCTTCGATTGACACCGTATACCCAAAGACTTCGTTTAGACAATCTAAAACAGAACTAGCCGAACAATTTTGCTTCACATATCGTCTACCAATTCAACTGCAGTTGCCGTGACCCTTACACTGGCAAAAAGAAATGGCCCTTGGCACAGCGGATGTCTGAACACATTCCCAAGTGGTTGGTATAATCGATGACGCAACAAAGTCTTACAGGTCGAACTGGTAAGAGAAATCCAGGGTCATCAATCGCAAAACATCTCATGACAACTGGACATATCGCTGACCCACGAATGTCGTTCAAACCGTTATTACGTAATATGAACTCCAGGTTTTCGGTGTTTTCAATGCTAATCAAGTTACGTAACCCAACCTTGTGCGCACAAAAGTTTCTTACACAATCAGTCTGACTGCCATGGAACTGATTTCCCACCCCACTCTTTCGCTGACAGTTGTTCGTTTAACTACTGTAGTTATCAAAACTTGCTCGCATAAATACCAAATTGTTTTACGTCGTAGTGACTGAAGAGATTAAGAGAAATGTTAAAATCTAGCAGTTTTTGTCTTCTCTCGGTTCTAACGAACTGGATAAAGGGGACCCAATTTTTCGAATCCATGAACGCCACTCAAGACGGCTAAACACTAAAATGATTGGGCAACTCACGGAAACTTTTACAATCAAGGTTATCCGCGTATTAAATCAGGATTCCCGGGTATTATTTCAAGATGGGGTTGCACACCCACTGAAAACAAACTCTATGGACATGACTCAGATAGTCCGCTCCCTGTATAGGGTTAACGTTTGACCATAAAGGCAGGTTCGCTGTTATATGGTGGCCGGAGTGGAAGTGGTAGGAATTCTTCTAACTGCCAACCTCAATATCCATAAATAATCTACTTCGATTCTCAAGATCTTATGGACTAGCCCATTCTGTTACCCCGAGGAGTCGCAGAGACTGGATAAACTAAAGAAGAATTTTTTGGTCACGGTGAGTCTTATATCTAGTCTCAAGACGATATTAACTCCAAATACTCTGCAGCGCTGAATTTCAATTTTCGAGAAAAAACAGTTTTCTTACTGCTGAATACAAGCTTGTTTGTCACTTCGTGCTTCTACATTGAGTTTCATTCACATGGGAGCATTTACTTGGTTTCATGTCTCGGCAACTTAAGCAAGTACAAAGCAGAATAATAATTACCTAAGAGTATAAAGCAAATGATTGCAGCACACGTTAGATAAATGATAATCTTTCTCACTGACAGATGTGTGGAGAGGTAATTTATGAAAAACGATCAATCCCCTGTTCTTTATTTGTTTGCAATATGTGTAGCCATTTCAAAATCTAATTAAATGTTAGATGGAATACTTATAAATATATGAAAGCACGCTACTCGCAAAGAGTACCTTCTGCACAGTATCTTAGTTTCTCCCCTTTTGTTTAGGTTCCTTAAGAAGTTTACATATATATGTATATATGTATACATTGCATATTGTAATATACTGATTGAAAAGCCAAGATAAAGAAAAAGAATACTGGAATAGATTCGGTGTGTCCAACAACAACATTTGACTGGAATGCTCAGTTGGAAGAGTTTTCACTTCTCAAAACCTGTTGAAGTTGGTTCGCTAAAATCAAGGACAGACGTAACTCAAACCCTATTGAACCCGGGATAAAATTCATTTCAAAGTTTTATTTCCGACTTTTACAATCGTTTGTAGATTTATGTTGGATAAAACCAAATACCTGCTTACCAGTGGGCCACATTCATTCACAAAGCACTTTTCACATACATAATATCTACTCAAAGCAAAGTAAACCATGGTTTGCTGAAGCGCTGCAATCACTTTTCAGTAACTCACATTTCTATACTAATTTTGCAGTTCGTCATTAAATTGCCAATCCATCACTAGCAAGGGAATGAAATGGCTTTACGATAGAGAGGAATAATGATGGAAGATTATACTGGGGGATCGGCCGTAAAATAATAAAAATCACAGCTCCAGTTCAATATTAGCGTTTGATTTTATCACAGGAACAATGTGCATGGAATATCTGTAAGACATCTGTGGAGGCGGGCGATCATATAACTGACGTGGATTGCTAGCATAAAGGTGGAAAGGAGGTACTCCAGTGAATAATCTGATTATACTTTCACTGAGGATTTGACGTGAATCATATCATGGGATGACCGCAGCGTTACAGTTTCAGTGATAGTTATCAATACTGAGATAGCGGTATATTGTTTTCAATCAATTTATTGCACGGTTTTTTTCTCCTCGCGTCAGCAGTTGGACCACAGAACCGTTTGTTTATCCGATACTTAAAATTATCGGACTTTCATGCGGATGGCATGGCTCAAGGGAGCTGAATTGTATGTTGTGATTGTTTTCAATGTAATGGAGAAGTGTGATAAGGACTATTGTCAATGAAGTTTATAAATAAGACAAGAAACCACTCTATAGTCGATCATGAACTACAAAAGTAGATCAAACATTTCTGGGATAAATTCACGGTATCAACTTGTGAACGTTTAAACCTGATCTAATATGTCAAAAACTACAATGAAATTATTCTGAATAATTTAAAACTTTTAAGTAGTATTTTCTATTGACTCCAGTTTACTAGACGCAGAAAATGTGATGCATTTCACAGAAAACATGGTTGACCAGAGAAAAGACCACACATAATTACATTATAAATTCTTAGCATAGTAGCTTACAAATTTGCAATCATTAACCGCTTTGCTGCTGTCACATCGAATACCTTCTCACAATGTCAAATAACGCTTGACGAAATGTGAGTTACCTATTTCATAGCCGTCTGACTCTTGTAATACACAGCTCTTGATTAATGGAAAATTTGCTTTACAAGAACCTTTAGATTGATCTACTTGGAGCACGTCTGTCTTTCGCTGATGTAGTGCATTTTGGTTCATTGAAACTATGGTGGCTCAGTCATAACAACTTAGTGTGACATACGTGCCATACCTAAGGTTCTTGTAAAAAGCACAGAATAATGTATTTTTCCATTGTTTGGAGTTCGCACAGTAAATTGTATGTGACATTTATCACGCATGTGTCTCATTCAGCTTGACAATTTTCCCGCTTTGCGTCCTTTAAAGAACTTACTACCCATTCCCATCACCTGCACTGATACTGTTAGTCTCTCTCTCCCTCTCTTATCGAACAGCCGCAATTCGTGACACACCATATTTGTCACGTGAATACGCTATGCATCACCACACTCGTAAACCTTGTCGTGTTTTAGTACTTAAATTTGGCACAAAGTTGGTCATATGAACTGTCGACCCAATTACTTGGTCACTCATAACCCACAGGTTTGATAACTCCAAGATAGCGAGGACAGTTTAACCCCGGATAACATAATGCACGTTGCTCTTGTTTCAATGCGCGTCCCTTCTAGCAGGACCAATGTGGATAGCGCATTCATTTGCATCAACTTGAGCCACTTATCACACAAAAGCAAGTACTGTGATGCAATCCAGAAAACGCGTGAATTAAGCTTTTGAAAAATAATTCATCAAAGTCTGTTATCATTGAACCAGTTTACACATTGCAAACACTATATGGTAATAAAAACAAAATGACGATTATATCGTGAATAGTAAATCATTCTTCTCAATTATATTTCTAATTTTCACTGCATGGGCAACCCATAACTAATTCTTCCCACACTATATAATTTTCACGGTCCCAAATTTCTGCAATGAATGCTGACAATAATTTATATTTATTTATTTAGGTAAACATGCTTCTTGGAGATTTCGTTCTCAAACTGGAATGATCAAAAATACATTGAAAAATTCTGATAGAGCCATTTGCCTAAATAAATTGATCCTGGGCGTTTGATGGAAGTGAGGGGTTTGGGTTTGTCTATACCAAAGCGGGTTACGTAACCCTTAGCAATTGATTCTTTTCATCACTTCCCCCATGCCTGCTGTGGTTCACTTCCGGTCCCAGTCAATTCTCACTGTGTACACATTTCTGGTTTTGGATAATGGACGACAATTGATTTTATCCAACTGATCTCTTCTTCGACTGAAGTTAATCCTTATGCAAGAAAGTATCACCTTAAAGATGTGGGAATTGCGGTTTCATCAGACAAACACAGTTAGTCTCTCTTTCAAACTCACTGTTTCTTTTAAATAATTCTGACTGATATTTTGTTTCACTGGTTTTGATTTAGCAACTCAGCATTATCTTTTCTTCATTGGAAGGATTTTCATTGTTCTTCTTAAAAGCATGAAATTATAAGTTTAACCTAAAATATTAT